TTATGAAAACTCTTATTTCTGTTGCCTATCCTATTCTTGATCCAAATATTGAATAGTGATGATAGAGCTACTTGTTTTGATCCTGATTTTATGGCAATATCTCTAGAGTTCCACTGTGTGTCAGTCCATCCTAGCCTGTTTGCTCTCATATTTGTTCTTTGATTTTGCTTGCTCTGTTCTACTGTAAGGGCCTGGCATTTGCAGTATGAATATCCCAAGTTTCCCATGTCAGCTGGTGTCCATCTGGGTTCAGCCAATGAGAGGTCCTGGCCAGAGTTTGCAGAGCAGAAGAAAAGGAGAAGCCAGGGTCTTTCTCCCCTATTTTCAGCCATAGGTAGCAACTCCAGCAGTAGCTGCCTCCATTTCATGGTTCCAGTTCTAGCCAGACAGGTATCTTTTGCTGGGCAAACCTGGTCCCTGACCCCAGGAATACCCTTTCCTCTGTTTGCTCCTCCAGTTTAGATGCCCAGCATGAAGGTCTCTGCCATGTTTAGAGGTCCTGCATTTATCATTCATCTCTCCCTCGGGCAGGCTGGGCTGATGGAACCCCCCCCCCACACACCCACACACACAGTGCACAAATTTCGTGCACCGGGCCCTAGTTAATAAATAATACAAAATTAACCGTGGGCTTCTGGTCAAAATGGCAGTGTAGGTAAACATGGTACTCAAATCCTCCAACAACCAAATGAAAAATACAACTAAACTTTAGAACACCATCATTGAAAAACTGCCTAGGGAGTTAAAGAAGCCACATGGAGACTGGTAGGATGAGTGGATATGCTAAACAGCTGATCTGACACCCACTTGTGGCAGTTTATAATTGCAAGGAATGTCTTGCTGCAGTATTCCCCACTGAGAAGCAAGTGTTCCTAGCCCTACACCAAGGCCCCCCAGCCAAGGGTTCCAGTGCCAGGAAGAAAAGTCCCCATAACTTTGGGCTGTAATATCAGAGGGTATTGTAGTTGAGGGAGACAGAGGATGGATGCTGGAGTCCCAGGCAGTTCCTCTGGACTTACTGGGACTCACCTCTTCGGAGCTTCAGTGATTTGACAGCAACTTGAAAGGAGCCAGAGACATACAGACAGCAAAAAAATTGCCTGGCATCAGGGCAAAGCTGAAAAGGGGAGCAGCTCTCTGCCAGATAAAAGTGCTGGCAGAAGCCATTATTCCTTTGTTGAGTTCTCCCTTTCCACAGAACTGACAGAGGGGTTCCATATTTGAGTCTCCATCAAGCAGTTCATACTGTTCACCCAACCCCGGCAATTCTCTGAAACTTGAAAGCTTATTCAAGCCATTTCCAGTGGCTTTTCTATACAAGTGTCTCTCTTGCCTCATGCTTTGGGCTTTCCTAAAATATCTCAAATGATCAGCATCTGGCCTCTACATACCCTGTACCTATCTAATCACTGGGTTTTACACCTGAAACTAATATGATATTGTATGTCAACTGTAATTGACAAATAAAACATGATTTAAAATTTTTTTAAAAAGAATTATAATTTGGCTGTTATAAAATAGTCACTGGTATGTAAATTACAACATAAGGGAAATAGTCAATAATATTGTAGTAACTATGTACGGTGTCAAGGGGTACTAGAATAATCAAAGAGATCACTTCTTTTTTATTGTTTTTTAATTACAATGGTAGTGACCATTGGTAATGCTTATCTGCATACATACTAAATCCTTTGGTTGATCTCTTACCCACCTCCCCCTTCCCTCTGAGGTTTGACTGTCAGTTCGATGCTTCTCTGTCTCTGGATCTATTTTTGTTTATCGCTTTATGTTGTTCAATATATTCCACAAATGAGTGAGATCATGTGGTATTTATCTAACAGTCTAACCACTGTTCTGTATGCCTGCAACTAATATAATATTGAATGACAGCTGTAATTTCAAAATATTAAAACTTGATTTTTTTCAATTAAAATAAAAACTAAAAGAAAAAAATAAACTTTGATCCTCATACTCAGAACTATAAATCTACTTTTGCCCATACTTTACATCAATTAATTATATAGGATGGCCCAAAAAATGTATACACAGACTTTGAATAATTATAATGATTAATAAAATACATTTCATTTTTAAAATCGAACTATCAGTTGTAAAAGTGTCTACTATATATTTTTATTTCCTGATTTGCATTCAATAGGAAATAGGGTTAATTTTAAATTATATTTAGAGATTAAAATTTGTATATTTTTCTTAATAATTTCTCAGGTATTAAATGTTAATTTATTAATTCATTTTAATATCAGTGTAAAATATTGATATTGTCCAAGGATTTGGAAGTTGCCATTTACACCAATATGTTAAGTCCTTATGATTTGTAGTGTTATCAGCAAAACTTTCTAGTACATCAGTGTTATTGAATCAATAAAAAATTACAAGATTAAAACCTTTTAAATTATATAAATTATTAAAATGTCAATTATTCCAATTTTATATTTTTAAGATTATTAACAATCTGATGAAACTATGATAGAATAGTTCTTCCAAGGTTTATAATAATTCCCATTTGCCTAAAAGGTCATTTATTTTTGGGGAAAGTCCATAATCTCTCTTACATATAAGTAAATGTCTATGTTCATTTTTTTTTAATCAAGACTTTCAAGTTTATGCCAAAACTCTAAGAGCCTAATTTTCTATTCATAAAAAAGACTAAATACATTACCCATTCACATTTACTGCTTTGCTAAAATTTTGGCAAAGACAAAACACATAATTTAAGCATAGTTTATCATTTTCCTTTTCCTTGTATTTTTGACTATCTGATCAATGGTCCCACAATATACATATAATGACAGAAAAATATTTATGATCAATAAATATTATAATTTTTCAAAAAAAAGCAAAAATAAAGAAGTGAAGGCAAGCTAAATTCAGGCTGATATGAAATCATGATAAAAGTTAATTATCTCCTAGTTGCAAAGAGTCGTAGAGGCTTAAGTACATAAAACTTATTTTTACAAAGATACACACCCACAAAAACAAGTTGTTAATATGGACAGTTTAAACAATAATTTACACCCTTGACAATTCCATAGAGCCATGTAATTAAAAACCTAGTGCTTATTAATCCCTAAAGTGTAAAAATGAATGGGGGGTTCTTATATGTCAAACACTATTATACATCAAATCTCCTTATGAGAGTAGAGATTTACTTTTTGTTTTAAAGCATCTGTCAAATGAGCAATTTTGTTCTTGTCAAAACTTTTACAGAGTGGCCACTGCAATTATAGATTGTCCTTGGGGGAATTATAGCAATTAGAAAGGTATGTACATGAGTTACAACATGAAGGAAGGAATGCATGATGTCCAAGACTGAAAGGACCCCATGAAAATATATGGAGGTGCTTGTGTAATGTCATGTCTTATGGAATGCCAAAGAGCAGTCAATCTCAACTGAGGACCTGACAAAATTGTGTAAAAAAATTTTGAAAAGGTGGCTTAAGGAAAATTTTGTCCTGGAAATGCAGACTCATGTGACCATATAAATTCACTGTTCATTAAATTAGCTAGATGATGAAGTTGTAAGATCTATGTCTATCTCTCTAGATTAAACTGGATCCCATAATCAAACCTTTTCTAAAATGTTTTCTTATTCTTAGGAGACAAACTAAACTTAACATTTGGGAAATTGATGAAAAGGAATTGAAGTTCAGATCTGAAACTGTCCCTATGTCACTGTCACAGTTGGAGAGAGGAATCTTCATTGGTCTCAAAGCAGGGTGCTGTTTGTAATCTAAGGTCCTCAAATTTGGTAGTTGAGGGCATTTTAATTGGATCTTTACAGAACTGTGTGTTTGTTCATGGTTGCCCCTCCAAAAGACTACCGGACAATTCCATTGACCAAGAAAAGTAATTCTCTCAGATTTATGCAGTAAGGAAAAAACAGCACCTTAACAGAATCTTACAAGTGTTTCAGAAGGAAGAAGTTATCAGAAGATATTTATATGTTTCAGAGCCTTGGTTCTCAGCTGATGGGGCTTTACTTGAAATGATCAGTAAGAATTTATATATATAGCTTTGTATTGTGGGCACAATGTGATGATAATCTTAAAGTGAGTTTGATGAGTAAATTGTTAGTCTTGGTAAGTAACTTATTTTAGTTAATTCACAATTTTACCTTTTAGGAGCAAGTATTTCATGGAGCAAAGAGTTAGTCATTTTTGCTGTTTTCTTTATTTTAGGTTCATTTCAGTTTTCATCATCAAAGACTGAAGTCCCAAAAGTATTATTTCATTTATTTTGTTAAAAAGCAAACAAACAACAACAACAAAACCCCCTTTATACTGTAGAAAGGTTTTCTAAAAGTATTTCCTACTACTGATTTGTTGTGGGGAACAGTTAAAAACGTTCATGCATAAGCAGGATGAATTGGTGTCTACTGGTAGGCTATTTCTTTTTTCTTTTCTTTTCTTTTTTTTTTGGTTAATCCTCACCTGAGGATATTTTTTCCCACTGACATTTAGAGAAAGTGGAAGAGAGAGGGAGGGAGTGAGAGTGACAGCAAGCATAAGTGCAAGAGAGAGAGAGAGAGTGACAAAGAGACAGAGACACCATGACATTTAAAATATTCTATTTCTTATTTTTTTACAGATGTGTGCAAATGGATGCATTTGTTTGACTGAAGAAGGAAATAAGGGATATTTTTTATCTATTTATTCCCAGAAGGCCTGGGAAAATATATCTGGAAAATACAACTGACTATCAAGAAAGTCAGTGTCAACTTGAAGTAATTTATGAAGATGAATTTAATATATCTAGGTATTTATACATTATATTATGTATAATAATATGAGCACATATAGAGGAAAAAGAATATAGACATATAGAAATACATTTTCTATATTACACTAGAATTAAAGTTAGTATCTGTGGTAAATAAAATCTGGGATAGATTCTCATATATTAAGATGTATATAGTTAATACCAGAGCAACCACCAAGAAAAGCCTATATAATAAAGAGGTAGTATGCCAATTGACCCTCACTCCATCACACCATCACAAGATGGCTGCACCCACAGTGGAGGCAGGGTTCCCGTAACACAAGATGGCTGTGCCCACAGCAGAAGTGGGTTTCCCATGATGAGCCATAAGGAGTGATCAGCAGGGACCTGAGGCTGCGTGGCACTGGGCCGGGGCGGGGGACCTGAGGCTGCACCCCCCACCTAGCGGGGCTTGATGGTGGTGGGGCCGGCCAGGTCTGGGTCTTGCATGATTTTGAGGTGCACGTGGGTGGGCGGGGACTACATTTTACTAATTTTCTTTCATCTCTGACACTTCTATTATAGAGAAAGGGCAAATAGCAATATTAAAACATTTCCTCTAATTAATTCCCTTTTGATGTGCATGAATTTCATGCACCGGGCCACTAGTAACAAATAAAACTGCAAAAAAAGCATTAAAATTTTGACCTGGAACTATATACTTAATATAAAAGGAGGTATTATCAGAAGCATAAAGGTATTAAAAAGACATGAGACATAAGAAAAACAAAAAGGAAAATGGCACACATAAACCCAACTATGTAAATAATAACATTAAAATATTAAAATCAAATGGATTCTAAATTCAATCAAAAGGCAGAGATTTTCAGCCTAGATAATTTCTGGACATACCCAAGTATATGCCATCTATAGGAGACACATTCTCTACATTTAAATGTACATTTAGGTTAAAAGTAACAGATTGGGAAAATATATACCATTCAAAAGCAACCATTGAAAGCAGGAGTATCTATATTAATATCAAATGAAATAGACTTTAAAAGAAAAAAATGGTTACTAGAGAAAACCAACTACAGTATATAATGAGAAACGATCTAATCCATCAGAAGATGTATCAATTATAAGTATATGTGCCAAACAACTGACACCCGATCTAATCCATCAGAAGATGTATCAATTATAAGCATATGTGCCAAACAACTGACACCCAAAATAGATAAAACATTTTGACCTGGAACTATATACTTAATATAAAAGGTATTATCAGAAAACTTATTAAATAAAACAATGATAATACTATAATAATGTTAAATTTAACAACTTTTTTGAATGAAGAAAACTAACAATAACAACATAATAATGTTAACAATGAGTTGATAACCTTTTACTATTGAAATATACTTTCTATGAGTGCAGCTTAAAGTACGTAATGTAAATGAAGTATTTTACAATGGTTTGGGTATTTACCACAGTTATGCCCTAAAAGGGACAAAAACATTTCTGAAAATTTTGCATAAACTTAATGAAAGTGGGGCGGTGGTCCCCTAGCTATGTTTTCACTCAGGAAAGGGTAATTATGTGATAAGTATTGGATTTAAATTTCTCAACACTAGACTGAAGTTTTTGTGTATCCAACCTATATAGGAAGCTTTCAATCTATGCTCAAGTCACCAATCCCTACTTACTACCAAAAATAGCATAACAAAACGAAAACCACTCATTCACACATTTTTTAAACCTTTAATCAACACTTTCTAATTGGAAAATGTTTGGAAATAAGATCTGATTCTTATCCCCTTGTAATATATCATCCATAGGTAAATCAGAACACATCTCATGGCTATTTATGTAGAAAGCAAATACATTTTTAACTTCTAAAATAACTATTATTTTTACTTTGTAAACATACAAGTAGTTTGTGTTATAGCAATTAATTTTATGGCTGACTTTCTGGAAACTTTCAAATAAACTGGTTTCTTTTAAGGGCTATTTTAGGAGCTTACATTTTCCATGTAATGCTAAATATGACCAAAACACTATTTTTCATTTATAAGCAATAGTTCTGTATTGAAGTGTAAAATCTGAAGTCCATGATAAAATCAAGTATAGTTTCAAACCTATTTCTATAGAGTCTGGAGGCTTGAATAAATACAACTTTATGTGACTTTGCCACAAAAATCTATTTTGTTCAGAGTTTTCTTAAATTACTTCTGAACCAGGAACTCTAATAATTATTAATTTCTAAGACTATTATAATTTTTGCCATAATATCAGTGACTTTTTTATTACATTGAATTTTGAATGTACCGTGAAAATTTTCATGCCTCCCAGGCAAAAGTTTTTGTATTACATTTTACTTTGAAACATATTTAAAAAGGAGTAAACTGGACTGCATATATATGTTGTATGTGTGCTTGTTTTTGAACAGTTTTGATATATTAAGCCATATTTTCTCTAGTGGCTAGAAATTTTTTTCTGTTACATGTACATGTGTTGATATATTATTTTTAATCTTTATCTTGCCATGGAAAAATGAAATAACCTTGCTTCCTTAAGTTTTATAGTAAAATGATATAGAGGTGATTATTTATTTAAGCAATTCTAAAGTAAATATTGTAATGTCCATATACATGCTGAAAATTAATTGTAGTACACCTCATTAAAAGAAGTAGTTTTGTGCAGTGACATGTCAGTAATAGTATAAGTTGAAATTTAGCTAATGTATATAAAATTATACATCATGTTATCATTTTTTTCTTTCATCTGAAAACCAATATATGTGTTATGCACATAAAGTGAAAGTTTGACTATATTATAGCTTCTGGCTCTATGACTTTATGCTTTAGATTCATATGTCAAACAAAAATTGTGTGCATGTGATTAATATGATTTTGTGTACCTGGGCCAGATTTTTATTTTACTTGATAGTAGCTAAATAGGTCTAACCTTTTTCATTGCTTTTCACATTTTCTTCTAAGACATGAAATGTCATGAAGCTGTTTGTTTAGAACCTTTCAGATGACCTTTCTCTGGAGCATAGCTCAATTATGAAATAAACTTGGTGATTATATAGTCAAACAATATTAATGGAGCATCTACTGTATATAAGGCTTTTAGATTATAATCTTGATATTTAGGCTAACAAATAGAGTAATATATTTAACTTCTTCTATCCCAAGAATATATTTCCATTAAATGATAAAAAAATTAACTTTCAATATTTAAAATGAGACCATATTTTAAACTTAGACTTTCACCTAATATATTTCTGTTATGTCTTTTCAATTATACCATTCACTTATTTCAAATTTAAGTACAATTCTAGTTGATTTATTTATTAAGTCCTTTAGTGTGATTTATTTTCTCAAAGTTAAAGTTCTTGGAATTTATAAGAATATTTGAAACATTTTAATAATATATGTGGACCACTATGATTTTCTTGACTTTTTATTTTTTTAACAAAATTGATGTACTTGTCACTGAATTGCTTTCAATTTAATAGTAATGTATCTTAAGCCAGTCAGAGAAAAATAAATATCACATGATCTCATATGTGGGATATAATGATCAATATAATTTGATGAACAAGAATAGATCCAGAGACAAATGGCAGGGGAGGGGTTTTGGGGAAAAGGAGATATATGTAAAATTTTAGACAATTAAATAAAAAGGAAAATAATAGTAATTTATTTTAGCACTGGGCATCATATGCAGGCATGTCAGTATTTCTATGAATATTATTAATTATGATGAAAAATACTTGTCATATTAGTACATAATGGGTAAAACGTGGTGAGTGCTTTAATAAACTGGATAAATTTATTTTAGGAAAAGGAGATATATGTAAAATTTTAGACAATTAAATAAAAAGGAAAATAATAGTAATTTATTTTAGCACTGGGCATCATATGCAGGCATGTCAGTATTTCTATGAATATTATTAATTATGATGAAAAATACTTGTCATATTAGTACATAATGGGTAAAACGTGGTGAGTGCTTTAATAAACTGGATAAATTTATTTTAGCTCAATGGTTTTCAAAGGGATGGCTTTGCATTTTGGGGAAAATTTGAAAATTATTAGGGTCATTCCAATCAGTGGAACTGACTGAAACAGCTGGCCTTTAGCAGGCGGGAGGTAGAGGATGAATGCCATAAATCCTTCATTGCACAGGATACTTCCATCATTAAAAAAAAGGTTACAAGGTTCAAATTATTCCAAAAGTTCCAATATAAGTTAATATGATTATAAAGCCTTTTTATAAATATCTGAGCCAATAACTTCATTTTATGTACTGACACAAATACTTTTACAAAAATGTAATAATCATCGGATTAATCAGAAAGAAAATGTTCATGTTAATCAAGAAAATATTATGTTTTATTCAGAAATTTATTAGAATTCGGTAGCCATATTGGGAAATCATATCATCCTACTTGAATTTGGAATAACTAACTACTGTCATCAGCCTCCATTTTTCTGTGTATAGATGCAAAGAAGTAAGCACATCAATGTATCTTCGAGTTAAGGAATTTCTACAAAGGATGTATTTTTATACATAACTACATTCAATAACAATTTAGTGTCCTTTTATATGTTCTCATATTAGAGTTAGGTCATTATCTTGATTTTTAAAATATTAGGTGTGGAGATAGGTTATACTTATAGATTCTTTTAAAAATATTTTATTGATTTTTAGAGAGAGAGGACGGAAGAGGAGAGAAGAGGAGAGGAGGAAGGAGAGAGAGGGAGAGAGAGAGAAACATCAATGTGAAAGCAAAATATCAATGGGCTGCCCCATGCATGCCCTCTACTGGGAATTGAGCCTGCAACTGAAGCATGTGTCCTGACCAGAAACTGAACCTGAAACCTTTTGGTGCATGGGACGATGCCCAACCACTGACCAACATGGGCCAGGACATATATAAATTCAAATGTACGAAGTAAATGGGGTGCCACAGAAAATAGAAATATATTATAAACAGAAAATATTGACCTAATTTGCTGTAGAATATATATTTTTGAGAGATGTTAACAAATTGAATACTAAAAAATATGACGGTTATAT